AAATTCATCAATCCTGACTCATTTGTTTGGAATTCATCTTTCTAAATATTTAATAAAGGGTTTACAGCAAAAATAATGAAGTTCCAGGATGGCAAAGGGTATTCGTTAAGGACCCCTCCCCACTGTATCCCCACAAGAGCCAAATTAAACTGTTAAATAAAAAGGAATTTAATGGTTCGCAGCCAGAAGTCTGGCTTTAGGCACGACCGAACTTAGTACTCAACATCATCAGGACTCCGTTTTTCTTCCTCTCTTGGCTCTGCTCTCCATTGTGATGTCTGACTCTCACATTGAGGCCTTGGCGGGGTGGGGGTAGAGGGCGGAGCTGGACAGAACGCAAGCACCTCTCTCCCAGCAGCCCCTGCAAAAACCTTATGGTCTCCTATTGAGTCACATGTTGGTATCTGAACCAATCACTAAGGCCAGGGGAATGCAGCTTGCTGATTGGCTGAGGCCTGAGCCACTGCTCCGCCCCTAGAGTGTGTGGGCGGAAGGGGCAGTCTGCTTTGCCCAGAGCCAATGAGAATGGAAAAGAGGTAGGTGTTCCAGAGGGAAGCTGGGGTATGCGACCAGGAGGGTGAATGGACCATGGGCCACAAGAACAACAGGTGTCATCCAAAGGAAATCAATGGTTGGAAGAGCTAAGAAGACTAATACTTTTCAAGCACCCCCAAGCCCTCTAAAAGTAGAATTGATTGCTAGTTTTTAAATCCCTACAGATTGGGGTGCCTGGGTGGCTCAGTCATTAAGCGTCTGCCTTCGGCTCAGGTCATGATCCCAGGGTCCTGGGATCAGCCCCACGTTGGGCTCCCTGCTCTGCGGGAAGCCTGCTTCTCCCTCTCCCACTCCCTCTTAAAAAAAAAAATAATAAAATAAATAAAATAAATAAATCCCTACAGATCTCTGAGAGGCAATGTGTTACTGGACGCATTTGGGATAGCCTTTATTTGCCTGGGAACAATAAAACTACATCTTTAAGCCAATCTGTAATCCATACTTCCCAGGAATTCATACTGGCCGGGTCTCCTTCCTGACCCCACTAGTGGGCAGTTTGACTGACCTGCCCAATGCTATGGGGGCTAGAAGGCCCTGTCAGCCCCACAGACTGTTTGCACCCGGGTCTTCCTTTGGCTAAATGGGCATTGAAAGAAGTTTGACTCCAGTGGCCCTGGCCTTCCCTTTCTCGCCCTGACCCCTCAAATCTCCTCTTGCCCTTGAATCTCCAGGGTTGCTTGCTTTCTACCACCACTCACCCCAATTTATTCCTAAATCCTGTTCTTAGAAGGGACTCTGTCACCAGTCACATGTATATGAATAAGCATAAAATCAGTAGCTTAACCTTTCACAGGACTATTTGCATTTTAACTCTGAGCCTTTTCAGTGAAACAAAAGGCTCTGTCCTGCCTATCCCTGAATATTCCCAAAAGGAACACAGTGCAAATGGGACTCAGAAATCAAGCATCCAATGTCCACAACCTTCCCTGAAACCCTCACACATCCACCTGGCCTTGCCATGCAGTTTTTTTTCTCAAGTCTAACTTAAATCACCTTTGCTGACATTCAACCATTACTCTCTGCTATGGCAGGGAAGTTTCTTGCATCCTTTCATCCATTTATTCACTCAACAAACTTGAGTATCCACCATATTTTAGATTCTTGAGTATACCAAGACAGCCTGGGCCCTGCCCACAGCTTGCAGTTGAATTTAAATGCAGGAAACATCAACTTCACCAGCAGATTTTTAACGCACGCAAAGCCAGGCCCAGTGGCTGGTATACAGTAGGTATTCAATAAGTGCTACTTCCACTTCCCTTCTCAGGGCTGCATGATGTGGAAAACACTGGAAATTTTCTAAAACCCTTTCCAGGTGAACAAGAGTGCCATGGGAGTGGGTGGAGATGGTGGTTTCTATCTTGCTTCAGAATGTCCTGGTTTGTTTTGAATGTTCCAAATGTCAGGTTGGAGATCATACAAAGGAGAGGGGCTTATTCTAACCAGATCAGGGCTAGAGGCAGCCCAGGACACTCTCTCCCTGGTACACAGTCCCAGACAGTTTGGAAACAAACAGAAACCCATCCAGAGGAGGGAGACTGACAAAAGCAAAAACAAACAAAGGCCAAGAGATGGAAAACTCACGAGGTAGGGCAGGTGGAAAGGAGGGGAGCAGGGAGAGAGATGGGTGGGGGCTGTGGAGAGAGCTTAGGGAAGGGAATGGTCTTGGGGTTTTGTGTGTGTGTATGAGAAGCTGAACCCAGCTCCCCCCAACCAGCCCAAGAATCACCATGGCAACGGGGAGGGTGAGTGCAGCTGATTCCAAGCCAACACAAAGCTCCAGGGCTCAGCAGCAGGAATGGGCTCAGATGCATGGGGTCATGTTCTAAAGAAAAAGATCTGAATTGGGCTCTTTAAGTCACAAACGCCCTACCCACTCCTGGTTTTATTGGCAGTCAGTGTTTAATGAGATGAATTAATCAGAAACGACAGTGATCCACATTCCTCCTCCATGTCTCTCTCACATACATACGTACACTTACCCAAGAGCCCAGAGTAAAACCCCTTCCCTTTGTGGGGGGAAACCAACAGCTCATGGGATTTTTGGCACTTTCCAGAAGCAGGGACCGAACCTGTGGGAGTTCTACTTGCCATCCCCTCCCCAAACCGTCCCCCCTGACAGTGGCATTAGTGACAGAGGGTTGATGGGGTTGCTTTCACAAGACCAAGGCACCTGGGTCTCCCATGTGAGGTGGCTCCAACTGAACCATCTGGTCTTCTCTGCCATCAGCCGCCTGCTGAAGCTCTTGGCCCTGAAGGGGTTTGTCAGCAAGGAGACTGCTTCTTCCCGCTTCATGAAAAAGTGTCTGCAGCGTGAGCCCCCCTGAGCTCCCAAACCCCAGCACCCAAACTTGCCCTTCCCTGGAGCTGGCTGGCCTCTGGGGTCTGCCTTAGATGTCAGGTTGGAGCTAAACAGAACTGTGAGACTTTGTCTCCTTCCTGCCTCTCCGTTCCCAGCTACCCAGGGATCTCACACTATCCCCCATTACCCTGGTCCAGGGTTGACTCATCCATTAGGCATAATACACACAGGGCATAGAGTCCACATTATAAAAATGTTTTAATTTCCTTTAAAATCAGAAGGAAAAAACAAGCTTGTAAGGGGAAGCAAACATTTTAGTATTTAGTAGTAATATATTCATCTTTATACCAACACAATCATAAAACATCATTTTTAAAAAATATTTTATTTATTTGAGAGACAGAGCACAAGCAGGGGGGAGCGGCAGAGGGAGAGGGACAAGCAGACTGCCCGCTGAGTGCAATCCCAGAACCCTGGGATCATGACCTGAGCCAAAGTCAGAGGCTTAAGCGACTGAGCCACCCAGGTGCCCCATAAAATATAATTTTAGATCTTTTTTATTGAGGAAGGAGTCCAGGAAGGCAAAAGGGCCCATGAAGTGATAATGTAGTTTTGCCCTCATCTCCCTTTCTGCTCATTTCAACCTTCGAGACTCCAGGGATTTCCTTCTGCCATATCAAAATGTACGTGTCCAATGGCCCCCACCAGCCTAGGAGGTCCTGGAGGATAGGACCATTCTTCATCCATCCTCATGGCCGCCCCCCCCATATGCTCAATGCCTGCCCCACGCTCACATCAGGTATTGCATTGACTCTGGGGGAGGCAGGGGGAGGGCAGAAACCTCAGAAAAAAAGAAAGCCTAGGTTTTAAAGAAATATTGCCTGAGAATTGCTGGAAAGTGCACATTTCACATCTATGCAGTAGGACTTTGTCCACATCCCCTGTGCTGAACTCTACTGAAACTGTTCCCACCAAATTCGCCAATGATCTCCAACTCAGTAAATCCAACAGATACTCCTCAGGCATAATTTTGACTGCTCCGCAGCTTCTGACACTGCTCAAGACTTCCCTGTTGGCTTCCATGACACTTCGCTGTCTTGGTTTCCTCCTATTTCCCTGGACATTGCTGCTAGGTCTCCTTTGCATGCTCATTCCCTCTGCTGGGCCTTAAAAACTAATAGCAGCAGCTGAAACACACCAGCTATTTGCTGTGCTGAGCCCTACTGTGTCAGTTCTGTTAATCCTCTAAACCATGCTAAATCTATTCTGCAACCACCAGCCAGAGTGATCTTCCTGGAAACCAAACCTGATCCTACCATTTCCTTGCTTAAAACCTAATGGCTCTCCCTGACCCTCAGCTCTGATGGTCTTGCATGACCTGGCCCCTGCGTACCTCTCCAGCCCCATCGCTCACCACAGCCCCTTCCTGTGTGGCCCTCCTGCTTTTAACTTCTCCAGCGAGAACTCTAGGTCTTTACATGTACTCTTCCCACTGCCTGAAACACTCTTCCCCCACCTCTTAGCTTAACACCAATGGCTCTGTCGGGTTTCAGTTGAACATCACCTTTGCCGGGAGCCCAGGGGCGCCGTCGAGGATGATGGTTATGAGGGTCACACTGAAACCTGTCCAGCGCAGCTCCCCGCTCTGTGCCACTTCCCATGACCATATAGCTTTGGGCAAGCTATGACACTCTCCAAGACTTCAACTTCTCATCTGTTGTCAGAATTAAAGAAATCAGTATCCGTAGATGCTCTGCAATGCTACACGTGTCATCTCCATATTTCCTGACCCCAGATGAAGTTGAGGATCCCTGCCAAGTATTTCCCAAAACTTCTTTATAGTATAATCCAACCTCCTTCCTGGGAATGCCTGTCCATATCTGCACCTGGCCAGACCTCAGCTCCAGGAGGGCAGGGCATTTTGACCTTGATCCCGCTCCTATTTCTTGTGCCTAGCACACAGTAGGTGCTCATATTTGTTCAATCAATGACTAGAAATCTAATACCTACTAGATACCCCGGTGATACATGCTGTCAGGAAACTGCTACCTTGAACAGGGAAGGGAAGAGAGGATAAGATTTTTAGCAACAAGGCCCACACGGCAGCCTCTCGGTGAGGCTGAAAGCAGTCACAAAGACAACTTGGTAATTAGGAAAATATCTTTATTATTTTTGAAATGTTGCCATTTTCAATGTAAAAACCATGATAGTGGCTTTTTCGCACCTTCACAGATTATAGAAAACTGACTTTCCACCTTCTTCACAGAAATCTACCCCCCAAATCAGACAGGGCTCCATGATGGCTGAAACAGGGCAGGAAGGAAGGGCAGAGAATCAGCGAGGACAACTGCAGCTCCCCTGGGCAGCCAGAGGCCTTCTCTGCACTTTCAAAGCCCAACTTGAGTCCCAAAGACCTGTGACCCCTGCAAGGGAGGCTCAGTCCATGCACATTTGTGGCCCACAGAAGGCCTGCAGCGTGGCACCTGTGGCTCGGAGGCCCCAGTCAAGGCAGCTTCGTGAGAACGAGAACGGGACGCAGGCCTGCGGCGCAAATCCTTTTCTCGAAAACATGGCCAGGAAAGAAACTACGGGCACTGGCCAAAGAGTGCTCTAGGTTTAGAAATCTCCCCTTTTACTCAGCTCCCGGACATGAATTTGTCAAATAGCTATTAAAAAAACAAAAACAAAAAAACCCCAAAAAACCCAGAAAACAAACATGTGTTTCCATTTCAGCTGTAATCAGCAGTTGGTAATTTTTAGAAAAAGATAACATGAGTTGCTCATTGTCAAGTCTGTCTTTTTTATCAGGCCTCTGGCTCCTTCCTTTCTCATCCATGGTTGGGGCAGTGGGGCGACAGCTGTAGCAGAAGGCTGTTTGTGGATTTGGGAAAACTGTGAAAATGTTTTGCACTCACGTACAAAGGCTGATGGAATTCAGAAACGATCCCACCAATTTTTATGAGAAACAGGACTGTTCCTCTTGGGTGTCTCAAGTCAAAACAAGGCAACCGCCTAGTGATTTATAGTCCCCACTACACGTATTCCACCTTCCAGAAGGCATTAGAGAAAGGGACAACGTCTGCCAGGAGCGATTGTAAACATACCACCGACAGCTTGGACACTTTGTTTTTAAATGCAGCAGGACTTTTTCCTTTGGCCCTGGCAGAAAAGCCAACTCCCTAGGATTGTTTAGGCAGCAGCAGACAGGAGGACTCCCCTGAAACCTCAGACTGAGGGGACTCGTGGTCCCCACTGACCGGAGTGTGGCCGGGAGCATCATTAAAGGCAATCAGTATGTTTATGGCATATGAAAATTGTCCTGTGGTCCCCAGTTGGCCCCCAGACCCCACCCGGTTGGACGGGGGGCACGGGGAGTGCAGAACAGGTTGTATCGTAAGGCACGTGGTCGAGGAGGCCCCCACACCAGGCCCAGAGGGATTATCTCTTTGCACGATTCCAAACATGTTGGAAAGCTGAGGAATTGATGGCACTCACAATAAGCAGCAACAGCAGATACAGGGATAGCACGACCGTAAACCAATGGCTGGAAAACCAGGACAGCTGGCTGGAAGGCCTGCTTACGGGGGGGAGAAAAAGGGATGTTGGCAAGAAGAGAAAACCATTTTTTTTCTAAGTGTATGCAACAACTTCTGGCTCAAAGAAGATGAAATGATGAATTTCATCCTCTGGTTGAGCCATGAAATGAAGCTTCGTGCGTGCTCCTTTGCTCAAAAAATCTGGGGCTATTTGCCTAGCACCAACACATCTTTCACCAGAACATTTTCTAAATGTACAAAGACAGCTATGCAATGAGCTCATCCTGATCTTCTCTCCTATGGCTCCTCTTGCACCTTTTACGACCTGTCTTTCCTCCCGCAAGACTTTGGTATCTAGAAGAATGACCTTGCTCGGGGTGTCTGCCCAGATGGCAGCAGGTGGCAGGTTATTTAGCACAAGTCTTTCACTGTGAGACATGTACAGATATCAGTCTGAGCTGGGGATATCCTCTTTGGCCCACTGGGTGATGATCTAAAGCGTCCAAGTGTGCACTCAAGAGACACTCCAGGGAGAAGTGGGAAAGGAATGGAAATTGCAAGTAGAAAAAGCCAGACGGTTTCAAACCAAAGGATAATGTTCCTCAGACTCAGGAACCCTATACAAATTTCCCCACAGTTGGGCTGGGCGAGGGGAGGATTTTACCAGTTTATGAAATCTTGAAGCGTGGAGACCACTGGAGTGGGGTGTATTGAAAGTGACCCCCTTTCCTATCTGACCTGCTCCTCTGCTGCTCGTCCCCATCAGAAGCTCTGCCACAGACCCAACCATGCGACAGGATCTCAAAGTGACCCTTGACCCTGGAGAACCCCGCACATCCACCCGCTACCACACTGCGGAGCTGGGCTGAGGCATCGCCATGGCTCTGAGGCGCTGAACGGTCTCATCTGCTGCTGAGTTACAAGTCTCTATCTTCCTCGCTAGGAACATACAGTCCCTCTTAGGGCCAGGACCACATCTCCTCAGACCCTTCTTCCTCACCCCTCGCCATGTGTAGCGGAGTGTTTTATACACTTCACACACAGCTCAAGTCTGAGGCTGGGGGCAAGGGAAGCTGATAACGGAGAACCCGATACTCGGAATGCAGCTTTGAGGTGTTGTCCTGGGCCTCTGGCGGGGACCGCCCTCCTTACCTGCTGGGCTGCTTCTGCGAGTACACCAGCAGGTACTTCACGCGCAGGAGCTGGTTATTGGTGACCACAAAGTACTTCGGGGGGATGTCTCCCCCTTCACTGTGTTTGATTCTCGCTCTCCTGCGATCTATCTCCTTGGAATCTGAATAAGGAGAATTAAGTACAGCTTTACTGGGGGGACATTCAGTAATAAGAGGAGCAAATTATGAGTAGAAACAGGTCAAGCCTCCTGGTTGTGAGGGTGGAGAAGCCCCAGCAGGCTGAGGAATGGCCTGTGTGTACGAAGCAGCGCTAAAAAAGTAGGCGAATCTGACAAACCAGAGAGGGAAACAAAACAAAACAAAAACACAGGAAAATAATAGGGGATACAAGGGGGGAAAAACTGAGTTGGGAAAGCAGAGGGAAGAAGCAGATGGATGGCCGTAACAACAACAAAAAAAAATGATCTGGGCTTAGGTACAGGACTTGACCTAAAATGAGTCTCTTAACAGGCATTTTAAATTAACCATCCAGATTTTTGAGCTTCTTAGAACTCTTACGGTCCACCCTTTGTACCAAGACTTGTTTAAAAGACAAAACAAAAAACCCAAAACTTTTTAAAAAAACATGATGAAGCTTTACAAAACCAAACAAAGCTATGTGACAGCAGACACTGCAAGGTTTTGTTCTGATGTTTAAGGTCAGAGTTTGCAAACTTCTTAAGAATTATAAATGCAAATATTCACGCTGCCCAGTTTGGAAGGGTGGCGTCAGACCTGGGCCCGTTCCTCAGGATTCCAGTTGTTTTACATTAGAGGCCAGGAACAGACAGTTTTCTCAATTCTCCTTTGGTCAGTGGAAGCAACAAGTCAGTTCTGGAGACTAGAATAACAGTTCTGTGACTCTTCTGCTTCTGAGAGCAAAACAGCAGGGTGCACGAGGCAGAGACTCCAAGGAATGTATCAGAGTGGACTGAGGTGGCTAGCTAGTCATCTGCTCCTCGGAGAGCCCGGGATTTACTCCCCGTGGCTTCGGTTGTCTCCCTCGTCCTCTGGGCACCCATCCGGGCACACACCAGAGTAGCCTGGAGGGACAGGGTCTGGATCCACGTCTTTAGCTTCAGTTTAGCAAATACCTACGGAATGTCAAGCATGTTCCAGGCTCTCCGCAGATACCAGGTGCTCAAGGGTGACTGAAACCCAGTTTCTGCCTTCAAGGAGCCCAGATTTTGGCCTTGCACACTCACTTTTGTCTATTCAAGCTCACCTCCTCCCCAGAGCTTTCCCTGAGCGCTTGGACCTACTCTGATTGAATGCACCTTCCTCTTAGCTGCTCCTGTGGACCTCATCAGCCCCCTCCCCTGGCATTCTCTGTCCACCACCTCATAGTAAGTTTATCTTTTCCACCATGTGTCCCTAAGGACACTGCTCACTCCTTGAAGGCAAGCTCCTGTCCCAGGTTGCTTTGGACCCAGCCCATCCCTTGGCAGATGGGCCAACAGCAAGAGCCTGTACATTTAAGAGGCCTGCAGCCCGGGTCCAGGCCAAGTGCTTACTCACCCTTCTTCTTCGTTTGGCACTTGACATCTGGATGATCAATGACTTCACACACAGCCACGCAGCTGAGGATGGGGCCAAGGAGGCTGCGCTGCCATCCAAGGCCGTGGGGGCTATAAATGAGGGCCAGGCTCAAGTCACTGGTGAGGTAGGTCCCTTCCCCAAACAAGGATGTCTGGAATGGCAGAGGTTAACAAAGAAACAGGGCTGAGTGAATGTAGTTGGCACAGCAAGAAGACGTAGGTCTTTCTTCAACAGAACTGTAAACACAAAATTCTCAAGCCTCTTTTTCCCCCTGGAAAAGGCATATAATGTCAACTCCTTCTAAGACATCATCACAGAGTTATAATTATAAACACATTCCTATCTGACGACAGTTTAACTGATTGTGGATGTGCCCGCCTAGCCTGGCAAGTTAGTGATCAAGGTTGAGTGAGAAATACATAGGTGTAAGAGTCCCAACAGATCTGAGTTTGAATCGGGACTGCACCTCCAACAAGCTGGCAAGTTATAGAAACTCTCTGGGTCTCAGTTTCTACATCTACAAAACAGTGATGAGAGTACCTCCTTCACAACATCATCGGTGAGGATTCAATGAGATAATGTACATAAAGCATTGAGCTGGACACCTGGCACAGGAGGAGTGGCAAGAATGTCAGAATAGGGCGCCTGGGTGGCTCAGTTGGTTAAGCGACTGCCTTCGGCTCAGGTCATGATCCTGGAGTCCCGGGATCGAGTCCCGCATCGGGCTCCCTGCTCAGCGGGGGGTCTGCTTCTCCCTCTGCCCTCTTCCCTCTCGTGCTCTCTGTCTCTCATTCTGTTTCTCTCAAATAAATAAATAAAATCTTTAAAAAAAAAAAAAAAAAAAAAAAAAGAATGTCAGAATATATTTGTAATTCCTGTTACACGAATGCATTTAGCATGGTTATACGGATGGCCCTGCAGAAGCAAAGTCATGCACTTATGCACAGGGAGGGGGATCATACTTGAGGGTGGAAGGGACCTAAGTCGTCATGTGGAAAAGAAATGAATCTCAGACCAGAAAGTGTAACCAAATAAGGCAGGCCTGTATTAGGGGCAGGGTAAGTATTACGCTTTGTGTGGGTGTCAACCAAGAAAATGTCCAAAATCTAGGAGGCAGGTCCCTAGTGGTAGGGTCTAACTGATGTCCTCCATGAGGAAGCGTGTCAGGGGAGAGAGAATGAGCCCAGGTGATAGAACTGCAGGCACAGCAAACACATCTTCTGCCCATGGTAGACCGTGGCAAAGGGCCAATAATCAACCATGATGGCCAACACAAAAATATCAATTGTGGCACTCAGTCAGACTGACTCAGAATCCTTCTCATTTCAGGTAGCGGCTACCAATGGATGGAATTTGAAATTCAAGTTGAAATTCAATTGCTATCTTTGGGGTTGCAGTATCTGTATCTGTTGCGTGAACTCAAACTACTCACTGAACACCCTAAGCTTGGGAACTGAGAGATGTACTATTCAGTGGCACCAGGCTTCCACAATTCTAAGCTGGTTCGGTGAAGCTTAGGGAGAATGAAACAAGCCTTTGCTTTACCTTTGGGAAGCCCCTTGCCAAGTTAGGCAGTGTCCCCATGTCTCAGAAGCTGACACAAACATTCTCCAAGGACACTGGATGTCATCTGATCTGACTCCACATCCATTCTAAACTCTGGCTGCCATATATACACAGACTAGACCCCCTCAACTCAAGAACCTCGAGCAAGACTGCTGTGAGCAGAGGCACGAGAGAGTGGGAAAGGTGGGGTATCTGTACTATGAAAATAATCTCAAATCTTCATCTGGCAAGTAAGCTCCCTTGAGCAAGCCCCTCACTGAAAACCCAGACAGAAGTGGTCAACAGAGCATCAGCTTTACGAAAGGACTCTGACAAGATGCCTTTAAGCAGCAACTCCCTGGACACTGACGTGAAGGTTTGCTGTACAAGCCTGTAATCTGCAGGTGGCTTCTCCAGGCAGGCTCTGCCATGAAGCAGAGGCCCCCTGGATTCCAGTAGCCTGGCCATAATAAGAAGCTAAGAGCCAGTATAAACAAGCCCATCATCCTGTGCAAAACCCAACTGCACTAATCAGCTACAGCAGTGTTGGAAAACTCTCTCCAGCCCCGGGGCTGCATCGGCCACAGCTGAGCCCATGGCTCACGGAACCAGCCCCTCCGACGAGACAGATGCTGGCATGACTGGGGGGAGGCCGCAGCCCTCTGACTACCCCAGAGCCCCTCTCCATCCGCCTATGAAAGCAGCCACTGCTTTCTTGGAGTCTAGTATGGGAAGAGCCCTTTGCATATATCAACTGTCTGAATCCTCTCAGCACACCAGAAGGTGGGTAATGACATCCTATTTTACAGATGGGGACACTGAGGCTCAGAGAGGTTAAGGAAATCTGCCCAGGACACAGAGCTGCTAAGGTGGTCTTTCCTGGCTCCTAGGAGGCTCTCCTCCCAGGCAAGTGCTTCTCAAACTTCAGCGTGCATACGAGTCACCTGGTGAGCCTGTTAACGTGACCCCTGATCAGGTGGTCTGGGTGTGCCTGAGATTCCACCTGCCGACAAGCTCTCAGGTGAGGTGGATGCTGCTGGGCCAGGGACCATGCTGAGTCACGAGGATTGGCTACACACTGGAATCACCTGGCTTTTAAAGCATACTGGTATCTGGGCCCCACACCCGAGATCCTGATTTAATTGGTTTGGGATGCAGCCAAGCATTGGGATTTTTAAAAGCTCCCCAAATCATTCCAAATGGGCAGAGGCTGGGAACCATCTTTAAATCAATACTTCTCAAACTGTAATCAGTATAGGAATCACCCGGAGATCTTGTTAAAATGCAGGTTCTAATTCAGAAGGTCTAGGGTGGGCTCCAGATTCTGCATTTTCACAGGCTCCCAGGTGCTGGTGCTGTTACTGGTCTGCAGACCACACTCGGGAGTGGCAAGGCCTTAGTGAACCTCTCCCCCCAGCCCCCACCAGCAAATGCCCCAGGGTTCTGACCCCCTGTCAGCAGGCTTAGGCCCCACCTTGTTCAGGTGGCAATGAAGCCCATTGTGGATGATGGAATGGAAGTTCTCGAGGCGGCTCCCGTGGAAGGCGTAGATTAGGTCCCGTTCTCCTTTGGTCTCATAAAATTTGGCGTTCGCTGGGTTGGAGTATTCAATTTCAAACAGGAAGTCCGGCACGGGGACAGGCGTGTGAGGGGCACCAGTCAGCTTTTGGATCTTTTCGAACTTGAAAACACGTAGGAAGTCGCAATTTTATTTGGGAAGCTCGTAAGATGTGCTGCCAAAATGGCCTCCTAAAGCTCTGGGCTTAGGGCTCCTACGGGCTCCACTCATGAGAATAACTAGTTTCATGAGAATACAGACAACAATTTATAAATAAGCTCAGAGCTTACAGCTCAAGACTGCTTCCCTCTAATACTGTTTTTCCCTACACCAGGCTGCAAAGCATGAACTGCTCCTTCTAACTAAAGACTACCTCTAATTTTCATAACACCATCACATCCATTTCCTGCATTCCATCTTTACAATAATCTCAGGAGGTAGAAAGATGTGATCGAGTGCAAAATGGCCCAAAACTTTTGCTCCCATCCTTGTCCATTTGCCCCTCTCTGTAAATGATTCTGCAGGCAGAATTCCAGAACTCCATCAAGAGGTGGCATCTACTTCTCTGCCCCTTGAATCTGGGCTTGGCCATGTGACTTGCTCTGACCCTATATATATAGCACGCAGAAACTTGAAAAGGGCCTCCTGCTGCGAACCCTTCACTACCATGGGAACAAGCCCTGCTAGCCTTCAGTAGGATGAGGGCCTCACAGCGGAGGCCCCCACCACAGCAGCCATCCCAGCTAAAGACCCAGACATGTGAGGTTACCGTAGATCATCCAGCCCTGTCCAGAACAACAACCCAACTAACCCACTGAATCATGAGAAACAATCAATGTTGTTTTAAGCCCTAGGTTTGGGGGATGGTTTGTTATGCAACAAAACCTAATTGATAGGGAAGAGTAAGCTCTTCCTGAAGGGCACTAATCCTTCTCAGGGCAGAGACCACATCATTTGGGTGATTTCTCAACAGTAAGTCAAAGACCAAAGCCAGTCTGTTTTCTCTGGGTTGTGACTAAATGAGAAAAATAAGGACAACATAACAGATATGTTTATATTGCTGTCAGCTTGCCATGATCCTTTCTTTGTCCTTTTTGGGGGGCCATCCTCCTTTTTTTGTGGCCATCCTCTGTTTTCTGTATTAAAATATCCTTTTATAAAGTGATGATACATGGCAACCTAATGTCCTTACTTGGGCACCATAAAAAGCTGATAATCCTCACTCCATATGGTGCCAACACTCCACATTTGAACGAAACTTAACTGACCCATAATAAAAGTCAAGGAGCCACTGCCTTATCTACTTTACCTACAGTACCCAACATCTAGTAGATGCTTGATACCCATATGAGGAATGAATAAATCTCAATTTAGCAGATGACAGAAGTGAAACCCAGAGATCATCTGAGTTAGCAACCCAGCCTGGACGTGAATATGGATCTCCTGACTCCCACTCCAGGGCTCTCTGTGTTACTGACCCTTTACCAACACAGGTGGACGCCCCTGGACACCAGAATCCGAAACACCCAGTTCTATGCCACTTGAGGAGGACTTTTGTCTTTAGCAGGAGCTTGTAAGATTAAATGCTCTTAAATTGAAATTGATGAAGTAAAGAACAACACCTATAAACCCCTGCTGCTTCTCCGAGGAAGGAGCACCAGATCAGGGATCTGCCATCCCTGGGGGAGCTCCGAGGGAGATCCCGGCCAGGCAAGGGAAACCAGATTACGGAATGTCTGGTCTGTGCCAGAAACTAAACTGGGGGTGTCATACATTCTACCATAGCTCCCCTCTGAGGTAACTTAATATTCTCAATGTACAAATGGGGAAAAGGAGACTCAATATTGGATGGAAGTGGGATTTGACCCCAGAGCCTGAAGTGTTCCATTAACCAGGTTCTACCACTCTGTTTCCTGACAACTGGATGAGGCCAGTGTTTCTTAAGGTGTGGTCAAGGGCCCATCCTTGTTGGATTGACCTGGGGTGCTTGTGATACCCAACATTTCCTGAGCCCTTAGCATGTACCCTAAGGCATTCTTCTAGCTGGGAAGATTCATTCCGTTCTCACAGCCAGTTCCCTGATGGAAGTATACCATTGCTATCCCCATTTTATAGATGAGGAGACTGAGATACTGAGATGCACCCGGTGGCCTGCTTCAGGTTCACCATAACGGGGACAACACAGCTTTGCACTGCCGGCATGCAAGTTCCTGAGCCCACTCCTGACACAGAATCGGCATCTCTCAGGACAAGGTCCAGGAATCTGCATTTTCAGCAAGCTTCCCAGGCCATTCTGGTGCACAAAGAGGTCCCAGAGCCCTTCAGCCTTAGGGATCTGCTGTCCTATAGACCAAAGTCTCACCTCTGACTTCCCTGCACTGTGGATTGTCAGGACCTTTGAGGATAAAATCCAGCTCACCAGGTCCCTGGCCCGTATGTCTTTGTCTCCAGAGGACTGGAGAAGGTCTTCCAGGCTGGGTAACTTGCTGGCATCTGCAAGCTGAAGTGAGGAAAAACCTCCATTAGCAAGGATCCCGAACAGAATGATAACCTGGGGCCCTCTGGTGGTGAAACAGGCAAATTGCATGTCTTTCGTGTTTCAAGGAATTTCTTAAGAAGGAAAGAAAGGTACACCTCTGGCATCCCCCTTCCAAATACCAAACTCCAAAAGCTCTGAACCCTGAAACGTTGTTGCGTAACCCATTTGGTACAAAACCTGACCTGAGCCGCTGTGAGGTTAGTTTAATCTTCACCTATCCCACTTCCTGTGACTGTTGATGTGATACATTTTGCAGCTGGAATATGAATGTCTGATTATGGGATACTGCCGCCTCGCTGGAGATGTTACCAAACACATGGCATATCCAAGTGCGGGTAAAGGGTGAACAAAGCCTTTTCCCTGCAGCATGAGCTAACCCCCTGCCAACCTGTCTCCTGGAGACCAGATGAAAGGAGTGTGGTAACTATATACATAAGCAGGCAACACTGCTTATGGTAAAAATGACCCAGAATGGTAAACTATACCTGGACTGGAAGAAACTATGAGTGGGGACTCCATGGGGACTCCAATCCCAACTGAGCGTGAGTGTGGTGACTTCCTGTGAGGACCCCAGCAGCTACGTCTGTGGTGTTACAAGGGAGCCCAGCCTCTGGGGCACGTGTGGCTTCACTGAGGCCAGGGCAGTTCCGGCACCTGCCCAGTCATCTCCTCACTCCTTAGCCGCCACTCTCGGGGGGCAAAGACGAGCTCCTGGACCTCTGGAGCGGCCTTGTTGCGAGCTGGGATGTACCTCGAGCCTTCCGGTGTAGGCTGGTGCCTCGGGTGAACCAAGTCAGACAGTTCGGTTGTGTGGGGGTAACACATGATTACCCCTTTGTAAAATCAGGCAGCATCTGAATTTCAAAACACATTTGGTGCCAGGATTTCTGATAAGGGACAAAGGACCCCGATTTACGGATAGCTACAAGGTATCTATAGCTTTTGCTCAGAAATTACAACTCACTAGAAGGCAAGTCTCTCGGGCATGGCATTTAAAACATTGCAGCCGGGTGCTGTGTGAACACAGCCTGGGTTGGACCACCTCCAAGCTTTGCTCATTCAGTCCCTTGGGATGCCCCTTCCCCCACCTCTACTAACCCAGGCACCCCTCTCTCCTCTAAACCCCTAAAGTTCTCAGTCCCAACACTCCGTCCCAGTAGAGCCACGACTCCCGGAGGCCAAGGACTATCTTGGGTTTTTCTAACTCTCTTTCCTGGATGTAGAGGAAAGAGCAGACAGATGTGGGTTTGAATCCCTGCTCCTTAGCAAAGCGCTGGGCCTGGCTGCACCTCAGTCTGCTTTGACACAGAATCCCCACCGCGTCCATGTCTGGTCGCCGAGAAGATGAAAGACAGTCACAGATCTATCCATGCAAATTTCTTTTCTTTTCCATTTCTCTAGAAAGTTGGCTGTTGCTGACTTTGGGGGTTTTATTTCCTAATTTGGTAGCTGAAAATCAGAAACATTTCGGGACTACTTTATTCCTATCTCTGTTTCTAAAGATTTGATCACTTGCCTTGGACTTCTTTTTTTTTTAAGATTTTATTTATTTATTTGACAGAGAGATAGAGAGAGCACAAGTAGGTAGAGCGGCAGGCAGAGGGAGAGGGAGAAGCAGGCTGCCCGCTGAGCGGGGAGCCCGACACGAGACTGGATCCCAGGACCCTGGGATCACGACTCCAGCTGAAGGCAGATGCTTAACTGACTGAGCCGCCCAGGCATCCACTAGTCTTGGACTTCTAACAGAACTCTCTCTACCTGCCTTGTGGAGCATCAGTGAGGGCCCAGTTAAAAACCATGGATGCGGCGCCTGGGTGGATCAGTTGGTTCAGCGTCCAACTCTTGATTTAGGCTCAGGTCGTGATCTCAGGGTCCTAGGATCCAGCTCCACGTTCAGTGGGGAGTCTGCTTGGGGATCCTCTCCCTCTCCCTCTCCCCACACTCACGCACTCTCTAAAATAAACCTTTAAAAATACACACATACATACATAGCATGGATGTGTAGATGTGTAAATGCTCAAGTGCTGTTGCAACACAGTGGGGGAGGCAGCAAGGTAAAGAACGATGACTGAAGCCTAGTCGTCATCATAACAGAGAGGGATACTAACTACGGAGGGGACCAGGCGGGACTTCTGCTGGATAGGGGCTGGGGGAATAGAGGTCGGCAGGAGAGCCTCACAGAGGAGGTGACCTGCGCTTGCTATATAAAGGTGCAGAAGCCGGAAGGTGCAGCGTGTAGTCAGGGAAGTGGACGGCAATGTGGTGAAGCGTGCAGGCTCTTTTCCTAGGCAGCCTGGGTGTAAACCTGGGCTCTTAAGTCCCTACTAGCTGTGGGACTTGGGTGAGTTGTTTGACCTCTCCTGGGAGTTGTCTGACCTTGAATCCTGTGTCTCAGTTTCCTCAAATACATACTTTGGATAATATTAGTAGCCACTTCATGACATCCCTGAGGAGGTTAATCAGGTTAAACAAACGCGGTGCTTAGAGCAATAGGAGGATATTAAGTACTCTAGTGTTAGTGGGACCGCCAGGATGGTTGTCATCATTAACTGCAGGAGGGTCCATGTGGCTGGAGTGTGGGGGAGGGGTCGCCAGGAGGAAGAGGACTGAGAAGGTAACATCAGTCTGTGAACGGCCTTGACCCACCTTGGGGACTCTTGGCTCTGTTCTGTAGACTCTAGAGAGCTCTGGTGGCCATCCCCAGTGCCCGCTGCCCTCACAGTCCAGAGAACACCCCCCAGCAGCCTTTGGCCTCTGTCCTTCTTTTCTACTCCTGGTCCACGCTTGTTATCCCAGAGCCAGGGCTGAGTCTTCTCTCCCACGATGACTGTCCCCATCACTCCTATTCTCCAATCCCAACTGTGAGCCACAGCCCTTGCCAATTATTCAGACCTGGGCACAGGGAGCCCGCAAAAGGCCAGTCAGCTAAGCCAGGCCCCTTTTAGGGGTTCAGTCTGGGAAAGCGGGAGAGATCCCTCCTGGCTCCGGGCTGGACTTAGGCCCCTTTGAGCCCCCACTGGAGCCAGCCCTCTTCCAGAGCTCAGGCCCTCCCACTGCTGCCGGCCCAGACAGGGCCCCTGTGTGTCCTGTCAGGCTGCCCGCTCTGTCCCCACTCTTTAACCCCTCAACTGACCTCCCTTATCTCTCATTTCACTTTTTTTTTTTTTAAGATTTTATTTATTTATTTGAGAGAGAGCACACGCATGAGCAGTGGGGAGGGGCAGAGGCAGAGGGAGAAGCAGATTCCCTGCCGAGCAGGGAGCCCTACGCAGGGCTTGATCCCAGGACTCTGGGATCATGACCTGAGCCAAAGGCAGATGCTTAACTAACTGAGCCACCCAGGCGCCCTCATTTCACTTTCAAGCTATTCTGAAAAATAAATCTGCTCCAACAAGTTAACAGGATTCTTCCTCTTGAGTAAAACCTGGCTGCATTTGAGCAGGGCCTTTTGGGAACCAGGCATACGGGCAGGGCTGCCAGATAAACAACAGTCTGCCCAGTTAAATTTGAATTTCAAATAAACAACAAAATCCATTTTTTTTAGTATAACCCATACAATATTTGGGGCATACTTGCACTTTCAAAATTATCTGTTGCTTATCTGAAATTCATATTTAACTAGGTGGCTTATACTTAGTTTGCTAAAGCTAACAATGCTTCCTTTAACAAGGCCCTTGGACATGTGGTGTGGCCTGGCCTCTCTGCCTAACAGCCCCTCTTACCACAAACTCCCCACCTGCGGCCCCCATGCTATTCCTCAACTGCCCTGTGTCTTTCCTTTATGCTTCTGCAGCTGCCCAGCGTGACATTTCACGGGATCTTCAAGGCCAGCCTAAGGTCACAGGCCCTGTCCCTGACCACCCATGATCTCTGTGCTCCCCCAGCTCTGTGCAGAACCCCATGTTGGTACTTGGCTCTCTGGGGCCACCTCAAATCTGGTTGGGACAAGCACTACCTGAGGGCCAACCACATCTCATGTATCCTGGAGACCCAGCAATTGGCCTAGAACCTGACACGAGGTTGAGAACGGAACAGTAACAGCTACTATTTATTGAGGCCTTCTCATATACCAGGTGCTGGGCCAAATGCTGTGCATGCGTCATCTCATTTTATCCTCCACACAGCCTGTGTTAAAGGGGGAGGGACCAGGTCTGCAGAAGTACAGCACCTGGCCCAGGGTCGCACTGCTATTCAGTGGCAAGGCAGAGACGTGAAGCCAGGCGGCCTGACTCCAGAGTCTGTACTCTACGATCCTCTCCTACCAAATCAGTGGAGAAATGTATTTATTTGTTTATTTTATTTTATTTTTTTAAAGATTTTAATTTTATTTATTTATTTGACAGAGAGAGAGAGACAGCTAGAGAGGGAACACCAAGCGGGGGAGCGGGAGAGGGAGAAGCAGGCTCCTGGCTGAGCAGGGAGCCTGATGCGGGGCTCGATCCCAGGACACTGGGATCATGACCTGAGCCGAAGGCAGATGCTTAACGACTGAGCCACCCAGGCGCCCCTATTTGTTTATTTTAAAGGTTTTAAGTAATCTCTACACCCAATGTGGGGCTCGAACCCACAACCCCAAGATTAAGAGTTGCATGCTCCACGGACTGAGCCAGCTAGGCGCCCTTCAATGGAGAAATTTATAACGGACTAAACATTTTAGCCCAAAGGAGCGATTCTGACAGAACTTTAAGAGGCTGCTTGGGAAACTTACCAGGTATGTTTCTGGAGATTCCCCTCCTTCTCCCCGCCAAATAATACAACTAAGACAATTACTGGCTGAGCCTAAGCCCTGTCAAAGGTCCAGAGAAAGACGTATGTCACTTGTAGTACGGAGCGGGGTCAGGAGGCAGAAAACTCGCCATGCAGACAAGAGTTAAAAAACCGCAGCTCAAGAAAGTGGAAGGCATTTACCAAAAACTTGACTGAGGAGAACAAAAGTTCAGGAGGAGGGAAGGCATTTCTGG